ACCCCATGCTCACCCGTTCCAAAGCCGGCATTACCCGCCCAAAACAAATCCTAAATCTCAACACCAGTGTACTTATCTCCCCATTACCCCCCACTTACCGTAGTGCTCTTAAAGATCCAAACTGGCATGCTGCTATGATAGATGAATTTAATGCTTTGATTAAGAATGACACATGGGAACTAGTACCCCCCTCCCCCCACCAAAATATCATAACTGGCAAATGGCTTTTTCGACATAAACTTGGTCCTACAGGTGAGTTATCCAGGTACAAAGCCCGATGGGTTGTTCGCGGTTTTAACCAGAGATTCGGTGTGGATTATGATGAGACGTTCAGCCCGGTCATAAAGCCGGCTACGGTTCGCATTGTGTTGAGTATAGCGCTTTCCCGGGGATGGCCCATCCATCAGCTGGACGTCAAGAATGCCTTTCTTCACGGGTACTTACACGAGACAGTCTACGCCACTCAGCCCTCAGGATTTCAGGACCCGGCCAGGCCTCATCATGTATGCAAGCTCAAGAAGGTCTTATATGGCCTCAAACAGGCTCCCAGATCGTGGTACCATCGTTTTGCAGGTTTCATTCAGACCATTGGGTTCCACAGCTGTAAAACGGACACGTCGCTTTTTGTGTTCACTAAGGGGCCGGACACAGCTTATCTACTCCTCTATGTTGACGACATTGTTCTCACAGCATCCTCTGATCATCTCCTGCAGCACCTCACTCAGCGTCTTAAGGGGGAGTTCGCCATGACTGATATGGGGGATCTGCACTTCTTCTTGGGCATCAATGTCCATCGCACCCCCCGTGGACTTTTTCTTCATCAGACTCAGTTCACTCATGACATTCTCGAGCGTGCCGGGATGGTCACCTGCCGCCCCATCTCCACCCCTGTTGACACTAAGTCAAAACTCTCCGCCACTGATGGGCCAGCCGCCTCTGATCCTTCTCTCTGCCGCTCCATTGTTGGGGCCCTGCAGTACCTCACATTCACACGGCCAGACATCACTTATGCAGTGCAGCAGCTTTGCCTCCATCTCCATGCTCCACGAGAGGCGCACCTGTCAGCTATGAAGCGGGTCCTCCGCTACCTCCGTGGCACCGCCACCCTGGGCATCTCTCTCACCCCCTCTCGGACGGACATACTACAGGCATACTCAGATGCAGATTGGGCAGGCTGCCCAGACACCAGACGCTCCACATCCGGTTACTGTGTCTTCCTCGGCGATAATCTCGTCTCCTGGTCCTCCAAGCGACAAGCCACCACCTCCCGTTCTAGTGCCGAAGCTGAGTACCGTGCTGTTGTCAATGCTGTCGCTGAGGCCAGTTGGATTCGGAACCTACTTCTTGAGCTACGACATTCCTTGCAGCGTGCCACTCTTGTTTTTTGCGACAATGTCAGTGCCGTCTACCTCTCCACCAACCCAGTTCAGCACCAGCGCACCAAACACGTTGAGGTAGATATTCACTTTGTTCGCGATAAGGTCGCACTGGGGCACATCCGAGTTCTTCATGTTCCATCCTCCTCACAGTATGCTGATATATTTACTAAAGGACTTCCTTCAGTTCTCTTCCTGGATTTTCGCACAAGCTTAGGGATTCGTCCTCCACCGCAGCCGACGTAGCCGGGAGCATGTTAAATATATTTACCATATTTATTTATGTTAAGTATATTTAATGTATTTATTATTATATCATTGTATTATTGGTAGTTACCTTTTGTATAGGTTTCCTTACTTATACTCCTACCATGATTAGGAGTCCCATCTTGTATATAAATATAGTTGTACTCCTACAGATTCAATTAATTGAAAATATTCATTCTTCACAGACAATGGCATTTGAGGTGTGAAATATTCACAATGAAACCACACGTTGAGCACTTCCGTGCTTAAATTAAGAGCAAATTGAATCCAATTTAAGACATCACAGGCAGAAACTGAGTTCAAAAATGACTATATTTGTGCCTCTATATGAAGCAATGAATTGAGATACGGCGGATACAAATTTATCTTTGTATTCTGAACAAACACATCTCCATCTTTCACACCTTTCAATTCCAAACATGTTAGACAGATCAAAAATAAGGCAAGCCCGGGTCAAAACAAGATGCCTCCATCTAGATGATACCAAACTTGTTCTAACTGCATCCCTAAGTGTTAATTTATAGAGAATAATCTCAAGCATTTCATCAGGAAGTTGACTGATGTGGCCCCCAACTGTCGAGTATACATCCTGATATTATATAAGATGATAAAATGTTAGCGTACATACAAGTGACATTATTATTATTATTTCGAAAAAACAAACCAATGGGTGAATTATAATCACTCTCTTTATGCCTAATAAACAAATTCTATGTAATCTTCGTCTAAGAGGAGCTCATGGCACAAGGTTGGATGTCCAGGGTAGGAATATGATTGAAGTAGAAGGGTACTTTTATGAAAGTCAAAGTTATTTGAACACCCCTAGATAATAGTGTTGGGTCAACTTGGGGAGTTAATTCCCGGACCAAAGGAGAAGTTATGCTTGAAAGTTAAACCACAATGTAAAGAAATCAACCTACTGTATAATGTAAAAATTAACTGAAGTCGTGACGGCAACCTTCAAATTTTGATATACTATCATAAAATCAAAACAAGTGATGAGTATTTGTATGAATGTTCCCTCAAATAATTAGTCAATTGGTCTAAAAGAAATTGACATTGAGATGTTTTTTTTTTCAATTCAATATTGGTTTTACAAAAATTATAATCCTTCCATCCAAAAATAAAATTTCACTTCACACGGTCAAACTATATTCAATTTATTTACTTGTTTTCAGCACTCATGTGATAAAATAGTATAGTCATGTCAATGAAAGAAGATTCGATACCATGTGATTATGTGAATAGTAACACAAAGATCTTTGCCTCGTATTTGGACAGGAGTAGAGTATTTCACTAAATTCTAGAAAATAACCACAAATATATTTACCAAAACTCAATTTAAAAAAAACTGCAAAACACCAGCCAATATTGTGCTCTTAAGTCTTAATAGAAGGATAATACCTGAACTACTCGTCCTCCTTTTTCAATACACTCAATGTCCTTTGCTGTTTTTAAGGGCAACTGCATCGTCCCTGTGATCAAATTATTTGAAATTAGTTCACTCTTTACGAATTTCAGCTGGCATTAACACAAGAAAAAGAATGCACCTTCATAAAAAAGAAACAAGAATACAACTCACCTACAATATGGGAGTAACGATGCATTAAGCATTAGTTAGGTTTGCCATGTTTATCCCTTAAGACCCTATTGGTTTTCTATTCCCGTACTAGATCCATTCATTTTGTAATGCCCCAATCGTGGACTCCCGTACGTACGCTTTAACCCTAGAGACCATCAGGTGTATGCCGACCGACACCTGCATGACCTTAAGTTCCAAATCCTTGGTCCCATAAGTCCTTCAGATTCCCAATTCAATCTGGATCCGTCTAGTACTACTATTCAATATAGATCCGTCTAGTACTACTATGTCACTTACTTAATTTTATGATCAAAGTACAAAGGCAACCAATTGGAAAATATGGTGCCAAATATAAATTGACAAACTCTAGTTTTTAAGTTTTCCTCTAGGCAAATCTCCTTCAAGCAAACTAACTCTCATTTGATGGCAGAGGGACGGTGAAACAACAGAGTAGTGGCAAGGCATCTAGTTCTGGCAGAGGGTAGGACGATATTAGCAAATTGATGGTGTAATCGCAATGGTAACACCTTGGCAGCGGCGGCGAGACACTGACTTCTGGCTGTAGCTCCCTCCTTGCCGACAGAAAACAATGACGGGCAGCTGAGAGACCTTCTCGTGGGCGACCAGCCCTCAACCGTTGGGAACCTAATAGCAGCAGCTTGCAGAATGGGACAAGAGAATCCAGAGAATAGAGAGAGAAAACAAATCGAGTGAAAAGAACAAAGCAGAAAAGAATTCATATTCTAGTTTTTAAGAATTCAAATCGAGAGAAGAGGTTAGACAACCTAAATGGTTTTGCTTCCAGAAATGAAAATTTGAGTATATTTAAAACATTTTTTTGTCAAACACTTTGCTCAATCACGTATCAGAATGGAGAATTACCTTGTCAAGCCTAGGCCGAGCTATCAAGATATACTAAATGCCGTAGGTAAATTGAAATCATCACCACACAACCCCAACATGATCCAATCAGGTACTAAATTAACGATATGAATTCTTTCTACCTCACACACACAAAAAAAGTTTATAAAATGTGATGTGTTTTCATTTTTTTCAGGGAGATGATCATAGATCTGTTTATCTCTAAGCACGATCGTTATCTGTTGGATGGGGCGATTACAGATCGTGCGGTTTTGGAAGCAGCTATACTAAAACTAGATTAGAGATTTTCAGAGGAAGCCTTAATGGCGGTGAGACCAATAATATATATATAAATGCACACACACTAGCATTGCACACACTTTTTGTGTGGGTGCCTAGATTTTGGGCAATTCATTTAAGTGAAAATGGTATAGAAGCATACAATTTACGACAGTACTTAACAAAGAAAATGATAAGGTATATTAAGCTCATACCACACCAAAAGGAGGATGCAAGGTTTGTCAAGAACAGCAAACCTATATCAAAACTCTGTTCACATAAACTTTAAGTCACAGCCTTCAGTGAAAAACTCATAAATGAGTACCTTGTGAATTATTTTAAAGGGTTTCCTAACTTATTTGAACACGTGTTTTTGCTCAAAAGACCTGCTTAATGGAGTGCTCCTACCTAAACCTAGAGACCAGTCGTACTAAGCAGGTCTTTTGAGCAAAAACACGTGTTCAAATAAGTTAGGAAAACCTTTAAAATAATTCACAAGGTACTCCTTTATGAGTTTTTCACCGAAGGTTGTGACTTAAAGTTTATGTGACCAGAGTTTTGATATAGGTTTGTTGTTCTTGACAAACCTTGCGTCCTCCTTTTAGTGTGGTATGAGCTAAATATACCTTATCATTTTCTTTGTTATGTACTGTTGTAAATTGTATACTTATATCCCGTTTTCACTTAAATGAATTGCCCAAAATTTTGGGCACCGACACACGAAGTGTGTTTAATGCTAGTGTGTGTGTGTATTTATATATATATATATATATATTATTGGTCTCACCGCCATTAAGTCTTCCTCTGAAAGTCTTCCATCTAGCTTCAGTATCAGTATAGCTGCTTCCGAAACCGCACGATCTGTAATCGCCCCATCCAACTGATAACGACCGTGCTCAGAGGTAAACAGATCGATGATCATCTCCCTGAAAAAATGAAAACGCATCATATTTTATAAACTTTTTTTGTGTGTGAGATGGAAAGAATTCATATCGTTAATTTAGTACCTGATTGGATCATGTTGGGGGTTGTGTGGTGATGATTTCAACTTACCTATGGCATTTGGTATATCTTGATAGCTAGGCCTAGGCTTGACAAGGTAATTCTCCATTCTGATACGTGATTGATGGCTAGGGGTGGAAACAGAAATACCCATCACGGATGTACTATTCCGTATCCAACACCATTTAAGAAAACCGATCTCCAAATCTGCATCTGTATTCAAAGGAAAAGTGCAATGCCAAATCCATCCATATTTTTCCGGATTCGGATATATTTGTGTCCAACTCATCATCGAAATTCATTATAACAATCTAAATCCGTAGCCGAAAAAACATCCCAACCAAAACCAAAAAAAATGTGAAACCATATCTGGATATCCAAATCTACAACTGAAATCATACAAGCATAACCCAAAAAAATCTAAAACTGAAGCGAATATCCAAATCCACAGCAGAATCGAAAACAAAAAAAATCTCTAACCTAGTTACAACTAACAAAACAATGTAAAACTGGAAATCTGAATTGGTAACCAAAAAATATAAATCACATGCTCAATGTTTACATAAAAAAGGTTGTACCTTACTAACAAGAATCTTTTTTTTAATGGATGGGGCAGTATTCATGAAAACTTAGTTAGAGAAATCCCAAAGTAAAAACAAACAAAAAAGTGAGAGAATTACTATAAAAGAATGTATGTCCCATTGCAGCTCTATTCTTTGCACTCCAACTATCTCAAAGAAAAGAAGGTATATCATCAAAGAGCTAAAAACTTGGAACTATAAAATCTATATCAACACACATTTATTTTGAAATAATTGCACCCTAATTTCATTAGCAAGCAAACCTAATTTCTGAAAATGATCATAAACCCTTACCATTTATCTTTACATAAAACTCCTAACAAACACGGTCTTAGAAACAATCATTAAGTAATAACAAAAATACTGACTTGTTAATGACTTGTTAATGCTTTGAAATTCAGAAATGGACACTTCTCAGGATGTATTGAATCACAGTTTCTTCTTTACAGAAATTACATAATGTATTTGTGCAAATTGAACAATTAATTTTATACAGGGATTTACAGATGTAGATGGAACAAAAACATCCACTGCAGTAGAAGCCAAATGTTCAAATCGAAGAAATTAAATCGGAGGGTTAAATCAAATGCTGAAATCGGTTTCCAAAATAGAAGAAAAATGAAGAGATACCAGACCAATAGGCGAAAAGGTTGAAATGGAAACCAAAGGGACCTGCGCTTTAGATGCGTCACTGTGTTCGTCTAGGAAAGTGTCTGGTGTGCTAGAGGAACGGTTCATCTAAGCACTTTGACTCATCAAATTCTCTCAATGTATAATCCTAAATATGGTCATGTGTGATCTTGTTTGATTTGTTTTAACATATAGATTATTAATATATAATTTCTTTTAACATACAAATTATAAGATAAAATAGATTAAAAAAATGTATTGGATGGTGTGTAAAAATGAAAGTGGACAAATACTCTGGGACGGTGGGAGTAATATTTTATAACTAAAATAAAAATAAGAATCAAGAAAAAAATTTCATACGACCCAAAAAAGAAGGGTGAAGAAAAAAATATAGGATGGATAGAGTAGTTAAGTTCCAATTTAAATTGCATTCTTATTTCTCACAAAATCAAACTTTAATTATGTTTCTTTTTACACATTTTCACTACTCATTTAGGTTACCAAATCATATTAAGATCATTTCTAAGGATACAAATTGGTATATTATGGAACACAGAGTTTTCATTATTTAAAAGTAATTCTCTACATCATAGTTATGAAAGGCGAGCGACATGGTCGCCTATGGCGGTTTTGGCGTTGTGGCGACCCTCCAACGCCTGAATTAGGTTGAGCGAAGCGATGTGCTTGAGGCGCGCCATGGCAGTCGCCATTTCCGATGAAAGCTGTGGCACAAGGCGATCGCAACTCATGACGTTTTAATCACGGCCTATTTTATTTTATTGTTTCCACCCGGTCGTTCTGATTCGTTTCTCACTCCGGAATACAAGAATGCCAATTGTGGCCAACAACACATCCTAACAACAATAAGAACAATCTCCACAAACAATCCTAAAGAGAAATCACACAATCCATACTAATCCATCAACAATCCATCCCTAACCTAGGCTAGAAAATCTAGCCCAATATGTTTAAACTAAATGGATGCATAAAAGATAAGAGAGAAACACATAAACAAAGCATGAAGGAGATGAAGTAAATAAAAGCTAACAATAAGGAACAAGAAAATAAACATTCAAACATTAAATCTAAAGTTGGAACTTCCCAAAATAAAATAGCATGATGATGAATAAACCCTAGCCTAAAAGAGAGAAATAGAAAATGGGGGAGCTCGCCTAACAAAATGGATCTAGGGGAGTATATATAGAGTAGAGGGATGTGGGAGTAAATTGACCAATAAGGACTAAATTCTGAAATTAAGTAAAAAGTGGACCAGGGGTAAAATTGGCAATTCTCGCCCAAAATTGAATCTGCAAATCTGCTGCTTCATTCTCTGTCGTCGCCGAGTTGCGCCTGGTCCGCAGCTTCGTCCGTCGCCGGTGCTAGCCTGGAGATGGGTCGCCAAAGCTACTGCTCGCCGCTGGAACACCGCGGGTCGGGCCACGCTGGACTTTGGGTTCCCGATCTCTGCTCCGCTCTGTTGCTCGTCGCTGGTGAGCTTCACCGCCGGTTGGAGCTTGCCGGAATCTCCAGTGCTGGTCTTCTTCGATTGATGTACAGAGGAGACGCCGGGGACCGAGCTGCGTTGTTTGGTCGCCTCGCTGATTTCTCCGTAGAAAAACCGGCAATTGGGATTTGGGAGCTTCAATTAGAATAACTTCTTAAAATTACAAATTGGCCCCAATTACATTAAATTCCTTGCTATTCAGCCTCACACTTGAATTTGGGCTCCAAATCAACCAATTAACATAAATGAGTTCATAACTGCAAATATGATGAATAAGGCATAATTTAGCTCTTAACTTATATTAAAATTCAAGTTAATAAGTCTATCAAAGGATAATTAAATATGCACAAATATACGACTTATCATGATGGTAATGTCGCATCATACATGTCTACATTACTATATTTTTTGGTAATCTACATGACTATGTTTGATGATATAAATACATTTTAACTCCTATTTCGGATATAAAAACATGGAAGTATTATTTTGATATATTTTTAATGTTTTACTCCTACTTTTGTCTTTTCCCCGTTAAAAAAGGATCAAAAGAAAAAAAAAGCAAAAGAAAAGATGGAAAAAATAGCGAATAAGAAAAAAGAAAAGAAAGCAAAAAACAAAATATAAAAGAAAAGATGGGAAAAAAAGAAAGGAGCAAAAGAAAGGGGAGTGGGTTGAAAAGGAAAAGAATATAAATTATGGGAGTGTAAGGAGAAGAGAAAAAAGAAATGGGGGTCAATGTAAAAAAATAAAAATTCAGATTTTGCAATTTGACCCGAAGTGACCAGCTGGTCTGCCTGATCACTTGGTAATGGGCAAATAAATTTTTAGTGTGAAAATAGTAAAATTCAGGTACTTTTGTGAAATATTTTGAAATTTAGGTATTAAACCAAAATTTCCATAAAAGTTGAGATATTATTCTTGAAATTTACCCCACATATCCTCATAAAAACAATACATGTGTCAGATAATATTTCATCAACATGGAGAAGAGTTTTGGCATGCCATGGGGGCAAATTATATGGAACATCCAGCTGTACCTTCCTTTTGATACAGCCTGGTATTTTTGTAAATTTTGTAAACTTTTTATCCAATGCCCAATATCCAGGTCGGAAATGATTGCTGGGAGCTTTACTGCCTCGAGCACGGCATTCAGGTATCCACATTTGATCTTACTTACGCGATTCACTAAACGACGATCGAATCTGTGTGAATTTATGTGTTTTTGATTTGTGTTGTTCCGATCTGCGTTTATGTGCCTTGTATAACTGTCTTACCGCTTAGATCTGTGTGAGTCGGCTACGCATTTGATATATCTGTGTGTATTCGTCAATGGATGTCTTTTAATTGTGAAAAAATTGAACAATACTTTATTTCAGAATGAACATTTTCTTATTTGAGAATGAGTATTGTTTTTTTAAGAATGAACACTACGCTATTTATTATAACTATATTAGACAAATGTGTAAAAATGAGTACTTCTTTATTTTAAAACGAGTACTACCTTTGCCAGAATGAGTACTACGTATTTCCAAATTAATATTTATATTTGTACGAGAATGAGTACTACTTTATTTCAGAATTCTAGTATTTGATAGGGAGTAGTTTAGAACAAAGAAGCGTGCCAAATCCTCTGTTTATATTCTAAATTTCGGCTAACTGGGGATTTATCTTCTAGCACCATCATCTTCATTCGACCTTCCTCTACAAGTCCAAGCCTCCTCCTGTTTCTTGTTGCTCCATAATTTTTTCTTTCTTTCTGATTTGCAATGTTATTTAGATTTTGAAGTTTGTTAGTCCTGTTTTCTTATCCGGAAGCATTAATCGGTTTTGATTACTAGAATGAAGATTTCATACATGATTGAGATTGAGTTTTAATTCTCCTCCAATTCAGTTTTAATTCTTTTTTCGCTGAAAGGTTTGTTCTTTTTTTGCTTAAAGTTTTAATCTTTTTTTTTTTTGCAGCAAGGTTTGGCCACACTGTGAATCACTTGTTCGCTCTCCTCCTTAATTTTAACTTCATATTTGGACATATCCAAGATAACCCAGATTCTCCCTCAAATAATGGAAGTTATTATTTAGGTATTGTCCCCAGTATGGAAACTTATTTTTTATTCTGCTCTCCAATCTTCATTTCAAGAACTCCAGCAATACCATAAGAGTGGCAATGTAAAATTTACGGGAGCAACAATGACAACCTTTGACTATGAGAGTATTACCATAAATTGCAAGAATCTTAGAGGATATGTATGATCTTCCATTATAAAAAGTGTACTTCAAGGGCAACTAGCCAATAGGCTAGTTACATAGAATTTGCATTAGGCATAAGGCAAGATATTTTTGCCCGCTGGTTTGTTTTTTCGGAAACAATAATAATGTCATTTGTATGTACGCTAACATTTCCCCATCTTTGATATCTATCTCAGGATGTGCACTCTACAGTTGGGGACCACATCAATCGACTTCCTAATGAAATTCTCGAGTGTATTCTCAATAAATTAAGATTTAGGGAGGCAATTAGGGCAGGTTTGGTATCATCTAGATGGAGGCATCTTGTTTTGTCCCGGCCTCACCTTGTTTTTGATTTGGCTAACATGTTTGAAACTGAAAGCTAGGAAAGAAAGAAATGTGTTTGTTCAGAATACACGTATCGATTCGTACGGGCCGTATCTAAAGCCATAGCTTCTTATAGAGGCACTCGGATAAAAGCGTTTGTTGTCCGTTTCTGCCTGAATATTGATTCCCCACATGCTGCCTTCTTCAATTGGATTGGATTTGCTTTTGCTTTAGGTGTGGAAGTGCTCCACGTGCAGTTACATTGTGAGCATTTCACACCTCTAATGCCATTGCCTACTATTCCGTGGAAAATTCCCATTGATCTTTTCCCAAGTGGACAACCTGTTCTAAAGTGGCTTCTGTTATCGAACTGTTCTGTAGCAAGAACTTTTACTCTCAGTCCATTCAGACAGCTAGAGACCCTCAGATTTCATCACATACGTTTGGGGTTTAATTGTTACATGTGTAGTGTCCTATCAGGCTTAGTAAACCTTAAGCAGTTGGAAATGAAAGAATGCGAATTGCCTTTTTATTTATGCCTCAAGTCCCTCACCAGTCTAGAGGGTTTATGGGTTTCTCTTTGCACTGGGTTGGAAATAGTTGACATGGCTAATCTTAAGCTCAAGGGTTTGAGAGTTTTGTGCAGGACGACTGTTTCACTGGGGCTAGTTGGGGTCCCTAACCTAGATGCCCTCGGTTACACAGTGCATGACAGTGGCTCGTCCCACATTTTTTCTAAGCCGCCAGAAATTCTTCCTCATTTGAAATATTTGAATGTGTACTCTCCTTCCAACTGGGTGGGTAGGCGCATAACTTTGGAGTTGGTTATGATCAAATGCCATTTTTGTTTTACCAGTGAACGCACTATTACAAAGCATATGTTTTTCGTTTTGCAGATGGAGTTCATGCCAGAAAGCATAGCCACATTCTCAAATCTTAGGGCCTTAATGCTGGCACTGGATCGCAAAGTGGGAGACATCATGTTTAAGATAGCTCAACTTCTAAAATCATTCCCTCTACTCAGAGTTCTTAGTATTGTGGTGAGTGGATTCTTCTTCTATTCATGTTGTCCCATTCGCCTTTGTTTTTTTTCTGCGATGACTATATGTTGATTGTGAGGACTAACTAATATTGGTTGTGAAATTCAGCTGAGTGCCCGAGAGGACAAGGAACATGAGAAGCTAGAGTTGGTTGATGAATACTACTACCATCATGAACATCTAGAGTGGATTGAAATCTTTGGATTCGTAGGAACCAAATATCAGATCGAGTCATGCAAGTATTTGCTCAAACTTGCTCCTCACACCAAGTGGATGTTATTAAACTTTGATCTGCCCAATCTGTTCTCAGTGGTAACCAAAAAGGGGTACAAATGTCACCCAATGACCAAAAAAGAAGGCGAAAATGTAGTCAATGCATTGCAAGCATTTTCAAGTGATGTGAATGTGACCGTCGTTTGAAGAAGGGAAGCATTATCATTGGTTAATACTCCCTGTGTCTGAAAATGTTTTCTCATTTTTCCTTTTATCACTATAAGGGTTCGCATTGTATTCTCTTCCTAGACAATCTCAGAGTTAAAATAACAATTGGACTGTGGGTGTTTTCACCTAGAGTCCCACCGGTCACTTCTCGTTTTTTCTATTTCATACTTTCCTAAACTCAAAAATGAAAGTGAGAAGAAATACATATATGGGAGGAAGAAGAAAGTCATTTAGATAGGGGTGGGCGCGGTTCGTGACGATCCGTGATACTATCAGAACCTATCACGGACCGCTATTATTGAAACGGTTCGGTACCGGTACGGGATGAATCCTAAAACCATTCGGTACCATTCCGTTTTAAAACGGAACGGTACACTACCATACCCATGCTCAAACCGTGCCAAAATATTAAACATGCATTACTCAAAGAATATTAAAATAAAAGCATAATTATGTATAAAAGCGCACAAATTTATTTTAAAAAATGTAGTGATTTCAAATCGGCATGGACACTTGAAAACAATTAAAAAGCTCAATGTCAATCCATAGGTCACTTATATTCATATTAAAGCCAAAAAATATAAGTTACTGCCAATCTCAATAAATTTCATAGGCACACTTGTTCACTGCCAACAAAAACAGTCATTCATAGTTAATAATTTAGCTTTAGCACAACAAAACCTTCAAAAAATAAATGCTAAAGCCTAAAATATAATTGCTAAAAAACAAAATGACAAGAGAGTGAGTGACTGAGTGGCACTGTAGCAAATGGTAGGCAGCTAGACTCTGTATGTTTCCCTTCCACTTGCTGATTCTGTAAACATCCAAGGAATCAAAGTAGAAAACAGTAAACATACAAATAAGAAAAGGGTAGTTATATCATGCTTTTGGAATCAAAGTTATACCTGTTTCAATTGCTTCATAAAACTCCAACTCTTCAATGCACGGTTCAACGTCAAAATGAGTTGTTATATCATCTCCCTTTAACCAATTCTGCATACATATGAGGGCTTCAACAGAACTAGGAGTTAGTGAACTTCTAAATGCATCAATCACTCTACCCCTGTACTAAATGCACTCTCTGATGCTACGGTTGAAACTTGTATTGCAAATACATCTCTCGATATGGATGCTAAAATTGGATACTTATGAGATGCAAGCTTCCACCATTGAAGAATATCAAATGCTCTATAATCCTTTTCTACTGCTTCATCATTGAGTCCACTATCCTCATCATTAATCTCTTCCTTATTTTTGTTCTTTCCAATACCTTCCAATGGATCATTTAAATACCTATCAATCTCATGAGTTATGATAGATTCATCTGTTTGTTCAACATATTTAGTCCAATCCACTACAAACATATTCTTACTTGTGCTACTCCCAACTTTATATAAAGCCTTTTGTCTTTTCACAAGATCGTTGGTGTTTTCATCTAATCTCTTTCTCTTCAAGTGGTTCTTGCCTTGAACTTCTTCTTCATACGCTTCGTACATGGAAAAGAGAAGTGTCTTGATTTGAGTAGTCTTAGCTTCCACTTCATATGTTTTCCAGCCCATCACAACAGTCAAGATATGAGTTATATGTTTTAGCTTGAACCTTGGATCCAAGACAAGCCCTAAAATGATTAATGGGATTAGATTTTTAAACTCACCAAAGTACTTGTTGTACTTAGACTTCATTGCTAAGCCCACTTCTACCATCAATAAATCAGTATCACTTGCACTTTCAATAGGTACATTTAACATATTAGCCATAACTTGCTCAATTGCAATTATGTCATGCAGTGTAGTGTGAACCACTGGCTTTAGAGAAGCACTAACTCTAAGAGTCACCTCATAAAAGACTATAAGAAAATTCACAAAGACCTCGCAGTTATCCCAATCTTTGTTTAGAGGCGGCCCAACTTTCTTATTCCCTTTCTTTGCCACAATCACATTTCCATCTTCATCAAATTCCTCTTCAGATTCATTGAAATATGCTAGATATGAACTCGTTGTATCCTGTTCCATCCGCTTGAAAGCTCGTTTTAATCGCAGTGCGGATTCCAACATTGCAAAGGTTGAGTTCCATCTTGTTGGCATGTCTAAACACACCATCCCTTTGAACGGAAGTTTCTCCCTCCCAATAGCTTTTTTGAACACCTCAAATCTCTGTGGAGAACTTCTAACAAACTTGACTGCATTTCTAATCGCTAAGATACTTGAATTCAACTTTTTCAATCCGCTTCCCACAATTAAGTTTGTTATATGGGCAACACAACGCATGTGCATGTGTTCTCCATCCAAAACAACTTGACTTTTTTCGAACAAATTCAGCTTGGATCTTAAGAGATCTATGGCTGTTTGATTGGCAGAAGCATTGTCCACTGTGATTGTCAATACCTTTTCAATCCCCCAATCACTTAGGCATTGTTCAATGAGATTTGCTATGGTTATTCCTTGATGATTTGTAATGACACAAAAGTTTAACACTCTTTTGTGCATTTTCCAATCATTATCTATAAAATGGGCTGTCAGGACCATGTAATTATAGTTTTGAACAGAGGTCCATGTATCTGTGGTGAGACAAACCCTCTTATTCTTCAACTCATCTTTCAATTTCAACTTTCTGTCCCCATACATATCAAGGAAAGTCCTTACCAGTGTTCTCCTTGAAGGAACCTTAAACAACGACATCCCTATACTACAAAATCTCTTAAAACCTTGTTTTTCAACAAAATTAAATGGTAGTTCATCAAGAACTACCATATCTAAATGATTTAGATATGTGGTAGTGTTAACTGTGCATCAACAACATTAAGGCTTTCTCCGTTTTAGTTGTAAAATAGAGTAAGATGATGGAAAGTGTAACACCCTAATCCGTCCAGGTTTACAACCCCTTCCGAACTAAAGTATTAACTTGGTAATCGTATAATTTAAAACATTTCAAATAACTTTATTCATCATAAATGAAATTCCAAACATAATTGTAGTAAATACGGAGTGTTTAATGCGGAAGCGATTTTTTAAACATGATTCATAATAACATAATCATTTATTTTCTCAATAAATCCACCACGACTGTCTCGCCCCTTCCGCTGCCAAGAACATGCCATTCACTCATTCTGTCTACCTGCGTGTAGCAAATAAAACATACTACACACTCAGCGATGAAGCTGAGTAAGCATATCTAAAGCGTCGAACATCCAAATAAATTGAATCTCAATTCATAATCAACCATTTGATATCATGCACACAATATATGATTCAAACATTCATGATATTCTCAATATTTTATTCCAAGTCATTCGATATTCAATATCTCAACCATGCTCTTAAATTATTCTTAATCTAAGGCCAAATCATTTTATAACAAGCTCTTAGCTATTCCTAGTCTAATGCAACATTTCTAACCAGGCCCTTAAACTATAAATAGTTTATGCAGAACACAAGAATCGATAATCCACCCTATGAGTCGTGTGGATTACGTACCAACCGAACAATGATTTGTCGGGTGGGTGATATCCGGTCTGGATCCCGTACGTACGTTTTAACCCCGAAATATGAATTGGTCAAGGAGGTATATCTTAGAGTTCTTCTAGATATCCTTAATAAATCATCATCATTATACAAGTGGGTATATCTTTAGAGTTCTTCTAGATATCCTTAACAACATTATTCATTAATTCATATTCTT